CCTCCTTTTTAATCCCAATCCTTAATCTTAATATAATATAACATTAAATTTTTACCTATTGAAAACCAATTTTTCCATTCTTTTAACCTTTTTAATCCTAATCCTTAATCTTAATATATTTATAACTTTAAAGCCTGTACAGCTAGAAGCCACTTAATTTCAATCCAACATCACTCTAACATTCATTAATTTTGCAATATTTCTGTAAATAATCTTTGAAATTCTTCCAGTCTTCTTCCACCGACTCTTCTCCCTGGTCACGGATTCTGCCAGTCATTTCCGCCAATTCCATGTAGTCCATCATTTTCATCTGTCATTCCTCCAGTGTGGGTAGCTCTTGTGTCTTCCAATACTTTGCGATGAGTATTCTTGCTGCTGTTGTAGCATACATAAAGAAAGTTCTATCCTTTTTAACACCAATTGGCCGACTATGCCCAGGAGAAAGGCCTCTGGTTTCTTCAAGAAGGTATATTTAAATACCTTTTTTAATTCATTATATATCATTTCCCAGAAAGCCTTAATCTTTGGGCACGTCCACCAAAGGTGAAAAAATGTACCTTCAGTTTCTTTACATTTCCAACATTTATTATCAGGCAAATGGTAGATTTTTGCAAGCTTGACTGGGGTTATGTACCACCTGTATATCATTTTCATAATATTCTCTCTTAGGGCATTACATGCCGTAAACTTCATACCTGTGGTCCATAACTGTTCCCAGTCAGCGAACATGATGTTATGTCCAACATCTTGTGCCCATTTAATCATAGCAGATTTCACCGTTTCATCCTGAGTATTCCATTTCAGCAGCAAGTTATACATTCTTGACAAATTCTTAGTTTTGGGTTCTAACAGTTCTGTTTCTAATTTTGATTTTTCCACCTGGAAGCCAATTTTCTTATCCAAATTGTATGCCTCCATTATCTGATAATAATGATAACATTGCGCTCACTTTCTTCCCAGCTTGCTACTTTGTCTCCGGCTCACAGCTCTCCATTCCCCACTCTGGCCTTTTGTCTTTCTACCTACCTGCAAGTTGAAGGAAGGGGCTGCACCCATTTGCCATCTTGTCCACAGTCCCTCCTTTGTTCCCTTAATGGCCCATCACTCGGGTTATCACCTCATCAGGAAGCTACCCTGGCTTATATTTAGCACTTGCTGGATCAAGGAGTTAGAAGGGTCTAACTCCCTTCTACAGCCTACTCCCCCCCCCACCTCATAACACTATTTTAAAGTGTCCCCAATTTTGCCTGATGATGTAAAGCAACAGGTGGAGGGGGGTTAATGGTAAAAAAAATAGACTGCTGGTGAGGGGAGTGAAACGGCTCTGGAGGGTTTTCCACATCCTTAGGTTACAACAGAATTCCACCTAATACAGAGAAAAACTCCCAAGGAATTTGGAGGGCAGCTGGAAAGGCTCTTGTGCCTTCATTTCATTTTATTTGTTCAAGAACCTATCCTGCTTTTCTTCCAAATAGCAAGGAAGCTGATAGCTTAGAATACCTCAAGAATACAAGAAATAAAAAGCATAACCCGATTAAAAAAACTACAGACATACAACCAGAAACACACAATAGCAAATAAATTCTTCTGCATATTTATTTATTTATTAAATCCCAGAATCACATTCTCCCTTCATCTTCCCAGAGAAGTACTGGGTGATTTGATCTTTAGAGAGAGAAATAGCTATGATTCTGATGAGTGCAGGCCACATAGGGACTTGCCTGAGTCTGCATCAAGAGAAGTCTAATGTCCAGATCAAGGGAAGTAATAGTCCCCATCTATTCTGCCTTGGTCAGACCACACCTGAAGTCTTGTGTCGACTTTTTGGGCACCACAATTTAAAAAGGATATTGACAAGCTGGAACATGTGCAGAGAAGAGTGATGCAGCAACCTTTTTACCTCCTGCTCTGGAGGGTAGGACTAGAAGCAATGAGATTCTGACTAAACATCAGGAAGAAGAACTTTCTGACAAGTAAGAGCTTGCCCTTGGAAGGTGGTGGACTCTCCTTCCATGGGGGGTTATGAAGCAGAGGTTGGACAGCCATCTGTCCTGGATGCTTTAGTTGAGATTCCTGCCTTGCAGGGGAATCCCTTCCAACTTTACAGTTCTATGATTCTTGTATGCTGCCTTGGGTTACATGATAGAAGAAAGGGAGGGTATAAAATGTACTAAATGAATAAACATTGGAAAGAACAAAACACATGTTAATCATTGTTTTGTAGAAAATGCCAGACATGTGTTACACATTAGAATTAAATTAGGCCACAGGAGAACAGAAGCCAAGCAGTATTGGATTGATGTAGTCTAATGAAAGCAGATAGTCTAATGAAACCATCTCACTCTTTTTTATGTGGTTCACTTTTTGTCAAAGAAAGGTCTGAGAATATATTCAGATTGCATTACTGAACAGAATCTGTTGATCCAATTGTGTTTATGTACAATAGATTACATTACCTATGGTTCATTGCCTTATTCTTGGTCTAGTTCATAGCCTGTGATGATACTGTGGTTAACAGGTCCTCCCCTCAATTCTTAAATTCACCACTTCTGCCAATTGTAGGCCTTTGTTACACGTTACAGATATGCTGTAATCACAAACATAAGCTGGGTTTATTCCAAAAGTTGACTGGAATTTGTGATTCTGCTTTTCAGCAACCCTGCTATTGGATATAGGAAGCTATGGCTCTGGGAATTAATGGTTTTCACAGTAAGCCCTCTTTGGGTTTTTGTTTTCTTTTGTTTACTTTGAATGCTGCTGGTTTAACCATCATTTAGACATATTGCTATCATATGCTTTCACAATGGGGCAGAGAAAACTGTAGATGTCAACAAGAAAAATGTCCCATCTAATGAAGAACTATTGCATTTTGCCTCTTTGACAGATTGCCCCTTCTTGCCTGTATGCCAGGGCAGCTTTAAAAGCAAAGTGACTGTCACATATGACTTTCAAATCAAGGGCATTTTTTTTAGTGGGCAATCAATTATTTTATATTCACCTCACAACACTCTCTTTTCAGCCTGGCAAAGAGAAGCAATATGGGCACTAAGCAATGCAATTTGAAGTGGGGCATTCATGCTCATCTGAAAAAGTTTCACTTTTATGGCAACACAGTTGGCGTATTTCTGTGAGTGGGTATAGCAGCAGAGATAAACTTGCCACAGAAAACACCCAGCATTTCAAGAACTGGAGTGAAACAACCTGGCAGAGATAAACTTTAGTCATTCTCTAAGACTGCTTGACAGTTTTCTGCTCAATAGTTCCTGGTTCAGGAGTCTGGTCCTGATTGGCCGGTGCTACTGTGCTGTTCCCCAGACTGGTCCCTGGAACCAACCAGTGCCCTGGCCAGCTCCTAGGGGTGGGGCCTGCAGACATGGTCTGGAGGGGAGACTTGCACCTGGGGGAAATGGAAACGCCCAGGTTGTGGCTTTGCCCTGAAGCTCCTTTCTCCAGGCTGGGGCCAAGCAGGGCTGAGAGGGGGCACATGCCCTGAGCAGCAGGTTGGCTGTGGGGGAGTGAGAGAAGAAAGGTGCGGAGGAGTCACTGAGCATGTGCTAGGGAGGCATGCCTTGCTCCTCTCTCTCTCTTATGCCAAGGTGCTGCCAGTCCTCCACCAGCTCTTATTCTCTTCCTCCTCTATCGCAGGGCGGGAGCTACACATTTTGCCCTAGTTCTCTATTGTCTTCTTCATTGCTGCTGCTGCTGCTCCTCTTGCCGCCTTGGTGATTCTCCCATTTCTTCATCTGTGCAGATCAGTGAGATTCCAGATTGCTGCACATCACCCTCAGGACATTCAGCATATGGGGGGCAGTGGCAGCCCTCGCTCCCTCTCAGATTGGACTCCCCAGCTTCTGGAGCATGGGCCTGCTGGGGAGAGGCCAAGCCGGTGCCAGAAGAAGAAGAAGAAGAAGAGGAGGAGGAGGAGGAGGAGGAGGAGGAGGAGGAGAAGGAGGAGCCATTGGCCTGACCCAGCAGGCTCTACTTATGTTTTAAGTGAACATGGGATCATACTCACTTTTTCATGCTTGTGTGAAAAGACTGATACTAAAAATGCTTTCTATAGCTTGTGGTGGTGCATTACCCAGAACACCATTCTTCATCTGATTGATCATTGCCCACAAACATGTCATAAAAAGGTAAAGGTACCCCTGCCCGTACGGGCCAGTCGTGTCCGACTCTAGGGTTGTGTGCCCATCTCACTTAAGAGGCCGGGGGCCAGCGCTGTCCAGAGACACTTCCGGGTCACGTGGCCAGTGTGACAAGCTGCATCTGGCGAGCCAGCACCAGCGCAGCACACGGAACGCCGTTTACCTTCCCGCTAGTAAGCGGTCCCTATTTATCTACTTGCACCTGGGGGTGCTTTCGAACTGCTAGGTTGGCAGGCGCTGGGACTGAGCAATGGGAGCGCACCCCGCCGCGGGGATTCGAACCGCCGACCTGACGATCGGCAAGTCCTAGGCGCTGAGATTTTACCCACAGTGCCGCCCGCGTCCCTGTCAAGCATGTCATACCTTGACCTAATGGTGCATTGTAGAGGGGAGAGAGACTTTCTGCAGGCAGCGGCTTAATTTGCCCTGCCTTGCCCCCCCCCCCCAGCCCCCGGAGCCTTTCCCAGACCATGACTTTGAGAAGAGCAGAAGCAGCTGGGAAGAGAGGAGTTCAAGAATAGTTTTAACAAATAATTCTATAAGTTGTGTGTCCTTGTTTCTCAGTTTGATCTTTTTACATGGTTATCTATGTTTTGTGGTATTTTATGCATTGTGATTTGCTGTTATTTTGATAAGTGTAAACTGTTTAATTATTATTTGCTGATGTTTAATTTTACTGTTTTCTATTGGATTCTAACGGATTATTGAATATTGCCTTATTTGATATTGGTTGTTGATTTTAAAGTTATTGTGACTTTTTATATTGGATCAGATTGTTACTATTAATGTTTAATGTTTTATTATTGTTGTTGTGTGTGTTGGAAGCCGTCCAGAGTGGTGGTGGGGGGCAACGGGGTATGATGATGATGATGATGATGATGATCATCATCATCATCATCATCCCAGCAGCACCACAGTTCTTTCTTTTTTTCCTAAACTAGATGGAAGGTGAATACTTGTTCTGCAAACCTGCATTTCTACGAAACACCTAAAAAGCAGCAGGAATTACTTGGAAAGGAGAAGTGGCAGGTGGGATTCAGAGTTGGCCCATAGGACCCAGTCCATACGCATTATGAGGCTCTGTCAAACGAACCATAGCCCTAAATGTCAGCTACCAATATGAGGAACACTGAAAAATCAGTAATGTTCCATTGCACATACCTGGGCATCTTAAAATGTTTATGCATGTTTATGTGGAGAGAAGCCTCACTTTTTTCCATGAGGTTTATTCCCAGGTAAATATGGACCCTCTAAGATATTTTAAAACTACACCCTGATATCTGAATGTAAGTGGGTATATGTTATGATTTGACATAGGATGAATTCTGCATCCGCTTTAATAGAGAAGATCTTGTTCCTGAACTGCTATGAATCCTATTTGTAAATACCTTGGCTCTTATCTTTGAGAGTAACTCATTATCACAAACTTGTTAAATGGGAAAAGATATCCATCTTTCTCTTATCAGCACAAAAGCTTGTGCTCTTGCTTAACTCCAGCACTGCAGTGCGACATTGAGGGGGTGGGGAATTGTGCTATTTAGCATTGTTATCTTTGTGGAGATGATGTTGGCCATACATTCAGTCTGTCTCGAGCACTCAACTAAACTGCACAGGCTGTATAGATTAAAGGCAGTAAAAACACTTTACAGTGCAAGATGGAACCATATATATATATATATATATATATATATATATATATATTGCCTTGGGATCTTAGATTTTTTTCAGGTTCTGTAGTCTGGCAGCAGCCATTCAAACTTTCACCAAATGTTAAGGTGTTACTATCCTTTGCTTCTTGGATTTACCTTAATGATCAGCTAAACCAAACCAAGGTTTTGCCTTGATCCGCTTCATGCTATCCAGCTGCTTAGGGCTGCACATGTAATCGTGAAAAATCTGCATTGCTTGAAGGCTTTCTAAAGGACCAGTCCTATATCATGATATTGAAAGCTTTCTTTGGAGTTTTATTTGTACTTCAAAAGCTCTTATAAGGTGGTCCTAAATTAATGATACAATCTTGGATGAAACATTTCTTTTTATACTGGCCAGGTGCTCCACAAGTTTTCTGAAAATCCCTTCCATGTGGTAGACAAACTGAGTAGGAAAAAAGAACTGAATTTGCTGGATTTTAGAATAAAGAGGCAAATATCAAGGCATTTCAAGGTTGCAAATGAATTAATCTCATTATTATTGCCTTTGGGGGGGCACGAAGGGCCTGTAATTTTCACCCTGCAGGCAAGTGCACAGCAGCATAAAAAGGTAAAGGGACCCCTGACCATTAGGTCCAGTCGTGACCAACTCTGGGGTTGCGGCGCTCATCTCACTTTATTGGCCGAGGGAGCCAGCGTACAGCTTCCGGGTCATGTGGCCAGCATGACTAAGCCGCTTCTGGTGAACCAGAGCAGTGCACTCGGAAACACCGTTTGACTTCCCACTGGAGCGGTACCTATTTATCTATTTGCACTTTGGCCTGCTTTCGAACTGCTAGGTTGGCAGGAGCAGGGACCAAGCAACAGGAGCTCACCCCATCGCGGGGATTCAAACTGCTGACCTTCTGATCGGCAAGACCTAGGCCCTGTGGTTTAACCCACAGCACCACCTGCGTCTCTGCACAACAGCATACCATCCACTTAAAGCACCATTATACCACTATTACAGTCATGGCTTCTTCAAAGAATCCTTGGAACTGTAGTTTGTTAAGGAGAGTTGATAGGAGGCCCCTATTCCTCTTATAGGAACGTGGGTGGCGCTGTGGGTTAAACCACAGAGCCTAGGGCTTGCTGATCGGAAGGTTGGCGGTTCGAATCCCCGTGATGGGGTGAGCTCCCATTGCCCTGTCCCAGCTCCTGCCCACCTGGCAGTTCGAAAGCACATCAAACTGCAAGCAGATAAATAGGTACTGCTCCGGCGGGAAGGTAAACAGTGTTTCCGTGCGCCGCTCTGGTTCGCCAGAAGCGGTTTAGTCATGCTGGCCACATGACCTGGAAGCTGTCTGCACACAAACATCGGCTCCCTTGGCCTATAGAGCGAGATGAGCGCCACAACCCTAGAGTCATCCACCACTGGACTTGACGGTCAGGGGTCCCTTTACCTTTATTCCTCTTATGGAGCTACAATTCTCCAAGTTCCCTGGGGAAAGGGATTGACTGATAAACCATCTGGGATTTGTAACTGGGGGGGGGGTGCGTCTTCTAACAACTCTCACAGCAAACTACCCTTCCCAAGCTTCTTTGGGGAAAGCTATGACAGTTAGAGTGGTATCATTTTAAATGGATGGTGCAGATGTGGCCTTGTTCTACAGTAGCACAACATGGGTTTGGAAGCTATAGAAGCCCTTGGGGTGGGGTGTAAATGGGAGCAGCTCATGCAGTTGCCAGCAAAGACTCTGTGTTGTGCCTTCCACTCATGGCAAGAGGCCTAAGCTCTACAGCTGCAGTCACAGAAAACTTACTCCTGCAATTTGCTTTTCAGGTATGGATGTGAAAAAACCTCACTAAGGTATACAAAGCTTTCTAACTGCAGTTTGAGGTTCCTTCCTACCTGAGCAATGTAGAAACTCACAGTAATGTTATGCTTTAGCAATCAAATAGAGCCCAGAGGCTTGAGTTTAAAAAACTGCTGTGAATTAATGGGTGCTGTCCTACTTTCTCACAGTTGATAAGTATGTACACAAGGTATGTGAGAGCTGAGCCTTATGGTAATGTAATCATGCACACACACACACAGTTATTTTGATGACCTCTAACCTATGTGCCGGGACGCGGGTGGCACTGTGGCTTAAACCACAGAGTGTAGGACTTGCCAATCAGAAGGTCGGTGGTTCGAATCCCCGCGGCGGGGTGCGCTCCCGTTGCTCGGTCCCTGCTCCTGCCGACCTAGCAGTTCGAAAGCACAAAGTGCAAGTAGATAAATAGGGACCCTTTACCTTTACCTTTAACATATGTGCACCAAATTCAAGCCATTGTTTGTTATGGACAGTGCAATCTTATACAGTTTACTCAGAAGTAAAACCACTGAGTTCCACTGGACAGACTTCCAGGTAAGTATTTATAGTACTGTAGCCTCAGCGTGGCTGCCAATTTATCTAGTAGAGAAATTTCTGAATGGTCAAAATGCAAGTTTGAGATTTCTGGAGGTCATATGACTGAACTATATTGCAATATATTCTAACAGCAAGAAATATTTGCTTTAAGAGAAGAGTTAAGATTCTTACGGATTTACTCAGGCTCCAGAAAGCCTGTACATGATGAATTAAGGCAGCCACTGGCTTTCTATGCTATGGAAGCAGTTAGCATATTGCATAATTTTACATATTTTGCTCTAAAGAATTTCTCAAGGGCAGAGAAATGAATATCCCTGCGCACCATCTGCCGCAACTTGGCCTTGCTGTGGCTTCTTCTGAGCTGCCAGTTTTCCTCACTGAAAGACACTCCGTTATTTATTTTTACATTTATGAGGCACTTCATAATATAAATTCTCTAGGCATCACACAGGATTAAAAGAATAAAATGTAACAATAGAAAACCATACTGCACTAAAACCTGAATAAACTTAGGAGAAAGTTTGGGAGAAAGCTGCCTTATAGTGAGGCAGATCATTGGCTCCAACAAGCTCAGGATTGCTTACCTGATGGGGGCGGGGCGGGTAGTTAACCTTTCTTTGATCCTTCTGCCTAGGGCCACGCACCATAGTGACCAGGGCCAAATTTGTAAAAGTGGAGCAGCCAATGAAAAAATTAATAAAGGACAACTTTTGAGAGGTTGGCAGGGGGAACATTTTAATATCACAGTATTGTAGCAGGGAATCCACAGGAGCAGTCAGTAATTTAATTATTATTATTTATAAAAGATGCAGTAATTTTGGGACACCTCGGACGCACTTAAAACTTTTGGAATCACAGGATCAGAGTGAGGTACCTAGGAGAGCAGCTACGGGGGATATATAAAAAAGATTAAAATTAAAGGTTGCATCGAATACTAGTCAAAGTAGACTGATTTAAACTAACAGTGACAACTTTCTCCTTTGGTTTCATAAGGTTGACTCTGAGTAGAACTTAGAAGCACTCTGTAGATTAGAGGTGAGAGGCCTTGAGCCCAGAGGCTGAATGCTGCCCTCCCGGCCACTCCCTCCAGCCCTCAGGACTCTCCACAGACCACACCCCCCTCCCCACGCCAGGGCCGGCCCACCCATCAGGCAAGGCAAGGCAACCGCCTCAGGAGGCAAGATCCGCAGGGGCATCAGATCTGCCCTCCAAGGAATGCCTCACCTGCTGCTGCTGCTGCTGTGGTGGCAGCAATGACTGCAGTCCCTTCTTCTCTGGTGGAGGTGGGGGGGTGCGGTGTGGTGCCATTTTGTGGTTCATCTCAGGTGCCAAAATGTCTTGGGCCGGCCCTGCCACAGGCCACACCGCTAGCTGACACTGCTACACACCTTTCACAAGTGCTTTTGCCTGACTACAATGGATCCTTGAACTCTGACAATCCCTTTCACTTGTCTGAATGGAGGACAAAGATGTTGGGGTGGGGGTAGAGAAAGAGAACCCTTGGGCTTCTGCACGGCAGGAATGCACAGCCATGTCGCTTCACTGGAATATGCATTGCTTTCTCTACTTTTGCCTCCAGCCTTTGCTCACTCTTTGCCCCTGGCCATTCCCACTTTTGCTCACGGCCAGCATGCAGTCAGTCCTCAGGCTGAAAATGGCTCCCCACCAGAGCTGTCAACCTTCCCCTTTTCTTGCGAGGAATCCTATTCGGAATAAGGGAATTTCCCTTTAAAAAAGGGAAACGTTGGCAGCTATGCTCCCCACACCTGCCATAGATTATCTTAGGACACAGATAGGTACATAAAAGGGCCATGTTACCTATCTTTACATTCCTCCCCTGGTCTTTTGTTCTTTACACCTGAATCTTTCCAACCC